TCCCAAATGTTGTGCATAGTTATACGATTAAATCACGTTAAAATGAGCAAACACTTTTCAGATCACTTTCCATTTCTAGAATTAATTTTCCGGCCCGATCGCCTGAACTCTTCCCAAACAGTCGGTGAATCATAAACTGAACATCCTGAACGAGGCGGAGGACCATTATACAAATCAATTGGATTAAGAGACTTGACGGGAATAACTGGACAATCAACAGCAAACATCCAAGGCATATTGAAGAGGTAATCAGCCAAGCAAACATCGGGATTATACTCCTTAACAATCTTCATCATGGCATAATTATCGCCTTTGGAGCCTTGAATCAAATGATTGAAAGGATGTGTCTTCATCTCTTTTAACCGCTCCAATGGTGTAAATTTCAGCGAACTTTCGAATACATATCTCAAACGATCTCCAAGTGTGGGTGGTGATTCCATGATTGGAAATTCGGGTTCAGCATAGTCAAACAATGAAATAAACTCGAATCCATGTTTTTCGACAAGTGAACGGTACTTAGGAAGATGAGCAACATAAACTTGATGACCTCGTTTCTTAAGCAACAAACCGATACCAAGACACGCATTCAAATGGCCAGGACTGCATGAAAAAGGTTTAAATTAACGAAAATTCAAAGTCGATTCAAATTCAAGTCAAACTTACCTAAACAAAGCAGTGAACAATATTTTGAGTGGTTTATCATTTCCAGTTGCCATTGTGACTAGATTTTATAGATTCGTTGTAATTCAGTTTGTTGTTACAGTTAATTGTTGCTATTGAGGCGCAAGTTTCCAATTAAATAAAACTTTTGTTTGCATTTATATTTCTCTTCTTCTTCTTTCTAGTTGATAAGATTTATTGGTTAACATTGACTGAATGCACTGAAATTGAGTTATCAAATGTCAATTTATTATTATTAGCATCACTTTCAGTTGATTAGATGTAACTGTGTTGGAATAAGAAAGTTGAAGATGGATATTCAGATTAACTCATACAATAACAATGATAAAACAAATCTCTTTGATTCAGAAAAATTTGAAAATGCTAATTATAATGTTTTACCTATGGCAGTTGAACATAAAATACAAAGTTAAAATTTTTGATAAGTTAAGTTTTTTGATTCTATTTCATTACTTATTTAATAAATTTTTTCATTCTCGAAAGAAAATAAATTTCAATCGATGGGTATACGACCTGGTAATGAGACCATTACCAATTTTAGACGCTTACTATCAGCATCATTTCTTTTGAAAACTTGAAACGCTAAAGCTTGAAACTTAATTTTTCACAAACTTTAAGAGATCAATGATGGGTACACAACCCAAAAGATGGAGTGACTGAAACAAATCTAGTTTATTAAATAACTGTTATAACTGCAGATGGCAGCTCATGCAACAATCAAGCAAAAGTTAACTTTGATGAAGCAAAAAATAAAATAACGAGATAAATGATAATGTTAATGGGACAAAGAAAACAGTTTTGTTTCAATCTTTCTTTAAAACAGTTAATTCATTTTCCTTTGTTATCATTTATTCAATCAAATCATTCATGTTGTCAACTCGAAATCAGTTATAAAATTGATTCTTAACTAAATGATCATCAATTATTACGATTCTCCACCTCACATGTAATCGTCACCATTAACTGTAATCTCTGTTCTTGTTCATTATCAAGAGCGCCATCAACAACTGAATCATATTTTCTGTTGAAAATATTTATTTCTATCTATTAATGAATCAATTGAATTTGTGATTGAAAAACACGTTTTATTTGTTTCTTTTTTTCTGTTTTCATCTTTACACATTTACTTTATCTTCAACTTTATCACCATGAAGTGAATGATTCAATACGCAAACACTTCTATTAACTAATGTGATGAAATGGCAATAACCTAGTAAGTAATTGAATAATAATACTAATAATTAATGGAATTGAGCAAATTATTGAAATGATCTGTTAGTTGTTTGACCACGACACAAGGTTGCATTTAAAATCTTTTTATCTTTGTGCGTGTTTCAAGCGGCTGTTGGTTCATTTTAACCATCAACATTGCCTTCAATATTTCATTCACAGAATTACATTTAAAATGAAACATTTTACACTTAAAATTTGGTCTAGTGTTGCAGTCCAAGTTTTTCAAGATCAAACCATA